ACTCCTAAATCACTCTTTATGCCAGAATTAGAATTTCTAAATAAACTAATCAACAAATATTAAAATAAATTTTGGCAGGAAAACATAACATTCAGGATGGCATGGTTGTTAGGTCTGCTTTCTTATCTGCTGGTCTGTAGACTGGAACATGGTTCTTATTTATACTGAACAATATTATCAGTGAGCAGGAGCTGAATCTCTGGCTTTGACATACAAAGCTTTTACCTTAATTACAAGCTTTTACCTTTATTATGTCAAAATCTTACATGTGAAAGAATAATAAAATCCACTAAAGAATAACACTCTCTCAGGTGTTCACTGCCCAATACCTCTGCTGCTACCAGCATGCTTTTAAAAAATTATTTCAGTGTTGCAGTCTACTAACACTTAAATAACTCCACTGATTGTGGATGCACTATTTAAGTATTAAGGTATTAAATGATGTAACAAGGTGTAAAGACAGTACTGGAAATAATCTCTCAGTGAGTTCATTTTCATTTATGATACATGAGTAAAACTTATGAAAAATAAAATGAACAGTTGTAATGAATTACTGCTAGTCATCAAGCTGTATATTTTGACACTCCCAGTGGACTATATTTTGTTCTGGGCTCAGGAAAGTGTTTGATGAAATACATGTCTAACACTGCAATGTGTCATTTGTTAACCTTCTTTGTTCACCATGCCAACTTTATATCTAGGTTTAATTGTATCCATTCATTGCTCAGCAGCTGGGAATATATTGTTACTTAGTACGCTAATTGATACTATGAATTCACTAGTTCAACTAGCCTACAAATTAACACTATTAATTCAGTTCAACTAGTGTTCAAATTAACACCATTAATTCAATAGTTCAACTAGTGTATAAATTAACACTATTAATTCACTGCTACAACTAGAGTACAAATTAACACTTTTAATTCAATTGTTCAGATAGTGTACAAATTAGAACTACTAACTAATTAATTCAATGTGTATACAAATTAGCACCATTAACTAAGTAGTACAGCTAGTGTACAAATTAACACTATTAACTCAATAGTACAACTAGTGTACAAATTAGCACTATTCACTCAATAGTAAAACTAGTGTACGAATTGACACTATCAACTTGATAGTACAACTAGTCTACAAATTACCACTATTAGCTCAATAGTACAACTAGTGTACAAATAAACACTATCAACTCAGTAATAAAACTAGTAAACAAATTAACACTATTGACTCAATAGTACAACTAATGAACAAATTAACACTGTTAACTCAATAGTACAACTAATGTACAAATTAATACTATTAACTCAATAGTACAACTAGTATACAAATTAACACCATTCACCCAATGGTACAACTAGTGTACAAATTAACACTATCAACTTGATAGTACAACTAGTATACAAATTAACACTATCAACTCAGTAGTACAACTAGTGTACAAATTAACACTATTAACTCAATAGTACAACTAATGTACAAATTTACACTATTAACTCAGTAGTACAACTAATGTACAAAGTAACACTATCAACTCAATAGTTAAACTAGTGTGCTTCAAAGTACATTAATTCAGTTGTGAGACTTGTGTCATAGCACTCGAGCTATGCTAGAGTAAAAAGTAAATTGAGATTGATAGAATTTAGGATTTATCAGTGGATCATTTTGTTTCTCATTTGTTATGTAGTAGCAAAAGATTGCCTAATTTAAATTTCACTTGTGTGCTTGCACTCTCGAGAGACTAACTACCATATGTAATAAGTTATAAGTTGAGCAAATTATGAACAACAAAGATCCTGACTGGCAAAAGCATAGTGCCCCTGCAAGTCAGGGTCTATCTTCTTTGTTCTGCTGATTGAACATAACAAAATGCAAACACCCAGATCTGCCAGCTCATCATGTGACAGCAGATCTAGGTCTGACAACTTGCAATTGGACTTATAAGTACAATACAGTACTAACTTCTTTATATCCAGTATGCTCACAAATATACATTTTATATACTATTTTCTACAGCAAATTTTGTTCTCTTAAATATTTATGTTTTTTATCATGCAGTAACAAAAACCTTAACACTTTTGGAGGCAATCCCTAATCATTCTGGGAGTAGTGGACTTTGTAAAGTCACTAAACAGAAAACAAGTCAAACATGCTTTATTCATGATTCTGTTTTAACTTAAAAATTTAAAAGTTAAATATTACAAGAATTCTTTATTTATTGGGAAAAATGTATCCTCATTATCTATGTTAGAATATTTACAAGTACCAGTTAATTACCTCATTGTTATCCATGTCATATATAAATTAAGTTAAAACAAAGTATTTATCTAAAATTTAAAGGCATCTAAAAAGAACAGAAAAAAACACACAAAAATTTCTTTGAGTTGGGAGTAAATGTCAGGGAAAGATTTCCATTATCATTCTGTACACTGATATGCATAGCTTTTAAATTGTCAATTTGAATTTATGTGCTTCTTTGCAAGCAACATAATCCTTAAACAATTCTGAAGCACTTTTTCATGTTCAGTCAAAATTTCATCTACCATGTCTCATATATGAAAGAAAGTGTATTCTAAGTCACCCTTCATGCTTCAACTAAAATGTAGAATCTGTTCAAGAAGAGCAACTAGGCCTGCAAGTTACGTCTACAATCATGCAAAAGTAATTAAAGACTGTGTGGATGATGATGATGCTATTAAGTGATTGCTATGTCTCACTTTTCCACTGACATAATTAAAGCATGCAAAATTATCAAACTGGGGACATGTAACTTACTTTTTTGTTGAAACAGCTGGACAGAGAAGATTCCATTGTATCTTGCAGGGTTGGATTTGATCAGGTTGAGAAGACTGATTGGTTTTCTTTCAGTCCTTTCTTCTTCCATTCCTTGATGCACATTACTGACAACAGTCCATTCACATCAGCAATAGTTCCATTCTGTGCATGGTACCTCATACACAGGCAGATAGTCACCACTGTATAATGTGAACAGTCTCTCTAACAGCTGTTATAGTAAACAATTACCACTGAAATAAAACTTATTTTCAAAAATTCCTTCAATTTATTATTATTTCAACTATTTTTAAATGATTATATAGATGTAATGGAACAAAAAAGAACACAAGATTGTTAAATATTTTGAGCTAAAATGTTCTTTTTTAAAGTAAACTTATTCAGCACATATGTTGTTTTTTCAGTGAACAATAAATGAAACAGTACTTGCTAAAAAACCAGTCCCTGAAATATTTTTTCAAGTGACTTCACATAAAAGCTTGATTTTTCTCTTTATGTGAAAACCCACATGTGAATTAATTATAGATTATTTATCCCACATTCCATAGATTTTATTTCTACCATAATTCAAATATGGATGAAAATGGTCACCATGAAAAAGTATCCCAAAGTGAAAGTAGACCACATCTTCAATTTGTGCCACTTCCTGCAACTACATTCTAAAAACAACCACTGGTTTCCTTTCAGGTAATGTAAATGAGCTGCAAACACTCATGAACATAGCTAGTCAATATCTGCAATATCTAAACAGAAGCCTGTTCTCCTAGATGAACAACTGTAAATATTCCACTTGCTGCAGGGGCTCATCTGTGATATACTTACAATTGGCTTTCTACAGTCAATTTAATGGAAGCTGAGGCTATTACCAAAATCATCATGATCTGCTACCTAAGCTTCCTTGGAAACATCACTACTGAACATTGATCAAACACATGAACTCAAGGGAGCTGTGTGTATCAGTCAATAGCCTATTGACAAATCTGCTCTGCAGTGTCTTCTTCACAGATTTTTCTTATTCTCGCTCATGCAAAGGACTCCATGCAGAAATAAAGAATCAAATGAATATGTGTTGTAATCAAAAAATGAAATCCCTATCCACTTTATATTTGAAATTGATCTTTTAGTTATCTTTTTATAACTATCTTTATCTTTTTTTCTTTTCTATGATGTATAGAATATGGAAGATAGGAAAACCTTAAGAATCACTCTATAGATAAGATGAAGTATTATTAAAATAATAGCTGTTTTAGAAAATCTGAAGAAAAAACTTGCACATATTTTATTTCATGGGCAGATACTACCTTTACAAGCATATATAGGCCTTGATAACAGATGCAGGGCTTCACACAGTTACTGGCTATATATGTGTGTTATTGACAATGCTGCAACAGATGTATCAGATACTGTGGATTATGAGGACATAATCTGTTGATGTAGGTTATTCAAGATAGCAAGCAAATATGGACAAATATATTCTGAATTTTGTGTATTAAAACAGAAGTATTTTCTACAGGTTTAAAATGGCCATGTCAACAGTTCCAAACTCATAAATCAAACTCAAACAGATATAGTATCCTTATAGTATTTTTTTATATGGTAGAACTTTTCATGAAGAGAATGAACCAGACTCAATTCTTTTCAAGCCAAGTTTCATTCTTTTAAGCTTACAAAATATAAAGCTAGGATCAACATGAACTATCAAGAAATATAATTATATCCAGTTTAACAGATTTAATTAAATTCCATTTGAAGATCTGAATTAGCCTGGTTATGCTTTGGGAATCTTTTTCTGACATGATATAAAAAACCTTGGGACTATATATTTTTCTCATGAGATGTAAATGAGACATTTATCAACCAGCCCACAGAAAAATAGCAACTGAAAAATGAGAAACAACTGAAAAGCAGACTAGAGTGGTCCTCTATGTATACTCTATTACAACATGGTTGACTCTGCAGGATACTAATGATTCTCAGTGACATGGACTGTAATCAAGATTTGAAGTCTTGAACTAAACAAGCAGAAACCATTATTTTCTAATTAGACTTACCATAGCCTTGACCTTTGAATTTTAGACCCCAACATCAAGTGATTTCTTTCTTAATGTCAGTGTAAGCTATCTACAAAGTTTGATCCAGGACAAAAGTTATTATGCAGAACTCATTTTTCTTTGAGTCAATGCCAAAATGAATTACTGTTAGACCACTCTGGTGGCCTAATGGTTAGAGTGTCTGCCTTATATGTGAGAGACCATGGGTTCAAACCCAGTCTGAGCCATACCAAAGACTTACAAAAATGGTACTAACAACTGCCTCACTAAGCACTCAGCATTAACAGGTTAGTGTTAAGACTGGTCAGCCTGGTGTCAGAATAATTTGACTGGGTGGGACATCAAACTACATGTCTGCAGCATATTGCCCCAGTGCTAGACATCACTATAAACTGCCACACTGCAGACATCGTAGCCATATGACTGAACAATTTTTAAAGCTATGTTAAAAATTTGAATCACACAAACACATGAACAACTGTTACTTTGCAGAAACCGTTTTTCTTTTTTCAGTCACAGTGTTCTTGACTTTCATAGTCAGCCCCTATTACTGCTCTTTCTAAGAATGGCAAGAAGTTTCTTCCTCAACCACAAAGTATGGTATTGGTAGGTGATATCAAGGTAAAGTTATTGTGTAGAAACAGAAATGGTAACAGAAGGATAGATGTGCTTACAGAAAGATATCATAATATTAAAGGTTCTGTCTTTTGGCAGTCATATAAAAATTAACTGGAAATTCAGCAGAGCTCATTTCTTTTCCAACTATTTCACAATAATCAATTGCAGGACAAATTTAAAAATCTTTTAAGTTTTACGAAAAGTTTTTATAACTTCTGCTTCCGTGAACAAAAAATTCAAATACATCACTGACAGTACATAATGTTATCCATTCTGTATTACGTTCAGCCTTTTTAAAAAAAACTGCAGCTTAATAAATGTGTCTTGAAAATAACAAGTCTTCCTATTCAAGCAATTTTATTTTTACTGACAATCATATCTAAATAACAAAAATCCATGTCAGTGGTAATCATATCTATATAACAGTAGTCCATGGCAGTGACAATCATATCTAAATAACAGAAGTCCATGGCAGTGACAATCATATCTAAATAACAAAAATCCATGTCAGTGGTAATCATATCTAAATAACAGTAGTCCATGGCAGTGACAATCATACCTAAATAACAAAAATCCATGTCAGTGGTAATCATATCTAAATAACAGAAGTCCATGGCAGTGACAATCATACCTAAATAACAGAAGTCCATGGCAGTGACAATCATACCTAAAAACCTGATATCCATGGTTGTGACAATCATATCTAAATAACAGAAGTCCATGGCAGTGACAATCATACCTAATTAACAGAAGTCCATGCCAGTGACAATCATACCTAAATAACAGAAGTCCATGGCAGTGACAATCATACCTTAATAACAGAAGTTCATGGCAGTATATTATAATTCCAAATTATTATTTATGTGTCTTGTAACACTTCAAGTACATGTGCAATCCTATAATTGCATGATAAAACAATGGATCTGAAAAATAAAATGAACTATGGCTGCATGATGAGAACTTCAAGAGATTTGTCTACTATATTAGTATTAATTTACAAAGTAATAAAAAATTCAAAACTACAAAACATGGACTTTTAATTGTTCTCAAATCATTCAAATATGTAGACTAAATCAAATGCAGAAGTAAAATGTAAAATGAATAATGATCGCTCTATTGTTAGCTGTCATATCTTTTTGTTATAAATTACAAATAATCTATGCCAAGTACAACTAAGTAGGAACAATTCTGCTAATTCTATTAAATCAACTGAGCCAAAAAAATTAAAAAAACATAATCAAGACAACAACATGTCAATAAAAAGTAGTGAGTCTATCATGAATTGTTCTCCAGAAGAAAAAATACCATAGACACTTACTTTTAAGACAAGGCAGCATTTGAAACCACACAGACCAATATATGCAAGCACTTCAACCACTTGCATATGTGGATGTACAATTCTAAAATAATGAAGTATAGACCCTTAATCACCAGCACCGTGTTCTATCATAGATTAGAGTCTACATGTGAAGGGGACTGAGAGTAACATTAAAACAGTATACTAAGGAAAGGAGGGATGCATGGTGTAAGATTTAAGGTTGAGAATAACAATGATGAGGGAACCTGCAATCTGAGTGACTGCTGGCAGCCCCATATGCAGTCAGTCTGTGCTGTTTTCAATCTTCCACCATATGTTGCTGAAGAGATCCCCAGCTGTAAGGCAGGACATTTGGCGCCACTGTGGTATGATCTGCAAAAGAACACTTCAGAGTGCAGTATACAAGTAAATACAAGCGTACCTAAAATAATGAAGTTGTAGAATATTTATCAATAATTTTAACTTGGCATGTGTTCTGTAGGTAACACATTCAATTTGCTCACATTAGCATACTACACTGATACTCACTATAAAGTCTCTGGATGTACCACTACTCTTATTATAGCAATATCCCTAGGTGTTCCACTAGCCTAATTGTAACAAAGTCCCTAGGTGTTCCACTACCTTTATTATAGCAAAATCCCTAGGTGTTCCACTACCCTAATTGTAACAAAGTCCCTAGGTGTTCCACTACCTTTATTATAGCAAAATCTCTAGGTGTTCGACTAGCCTAATTGTAACAAAGTCCCTAGGTGTTCCACTACCTTTATTATAGCAAAATCCCTAGGTGTTCCACTACCCTAATTGTAACAAAGTCCCTAGGTGTTCCACTACCCTAATTGTAACAAAATCCCTAGGTGTTCCACTACCTTTTATTATAGCAAAATCTCTAGGTGTTCCACTAGCCTAATTGTAACAAAGTCCCTAGGTGTTCCACTACCTTTATTATAGCAAAATCTCTAGGTGTTCCACTACCCTAATTGTAACAAAGTCCCTAGGTGTTCCACTACCTTTATTATAGCAAAATCTCTAGGTGTTCCACTAGCCTAATTGTAACAAAATCCCTAGGTGTTCCACTACCCTTATTGTAACAAAGTCCCTAGGTGTTCCACTACCCTTATTGTAACAAAGTCCCTAGGTGTTCCACTACCATTATTGTAACAAAGTCCCTAGGTGTTCCTATGCCCTTATTATAATATGAAGCCCTTAGACATACCACTGCCCTTATAACATAAAGTCCCTAGGTGTACCAATGCCCTTTATTATAAACTCTCTTGGCATACCATTTCCTTTATTATAACATTGGTAAGGTCATCATTCAACAATTTTATTTGTTGCTACCAGTACTCCATTTATTTAAATTAATTTGAATTATAATTAAAAGCTAAAGAAAACCAAAACTTTTTTATGCACCATGATTACCATATATGTTCACATTTAAGTCGAGTCCAACTGCAATCAACAAAGACTCTGCTGTTACATTATGAGCCTGTATATTAGGGTCTGTCATTTGTCCTAGTTATTTTTTTATATTCCTGATGAACTGCACAAATCAATATCTTTTGGTGCATTATCCAATGGTAGATCTAGATCAATGTGATTACCAGCTTGATTAGTCTAATAATTAAGTATATACAACAGTCCTTACTGGAGGGACCAGCACCATCTTGTTATTTATTTCTATTTTCTTCACGATATATGTGGAAGAGATGTTATTTCTTGACTTCAATGAAGATCTTCATTTCTGATCCAGTTTGGGCAAGAATCTTGCTCACTTGTTTTTGGAAGGTATAGAGCTTTTATGCCTTCCTCGTTAGCAAATCAAACCTTCACAGGCCTTTGCCAATTATACCTCAACCCAATATGTCTGAAGTGTGTGTCGATGTGGTCATCTAGGCTCATGTAATCAAATTAAATGAAATATTAATCATTGTTTTGAAATATGTTTTAAAATTGTTTATCAAAGCCTACCCAATTGTGATTATTGAATGCTCAGCACTTTATATTATTAAAAACTTCAGAAGAAAATTATGATTGTTATGGATTTTCAATGGTAGCCAGGAATGAAATGGGGTCAATAAAAAGATGTGAGGTCTGCCATAATACATGTAAATGGCTGGTTAGTATCAATTTGTTTTCAATGCACAATGCTTTCTTTGTACCATCACAGTGTGTGACATTCAATATTGTAACATTACAGTGTGTGACATTCAATCAGGTTTGCATGGAATCACACTTTTAGGTTGACCTCATCCAAAGATATTCACATAATGTAACACCGAATTTGCCATAATTACTAAAAAATGACCTACCAAAGGAATATGGATGCATGAGGATCCAAATAAAGTGAATAACTGACATTTAAAGGAAGGAGTAATCATATTTTAACAAATGACACCTATTAGTGAAATAGGCAATTCTTAATGATTACATGACCTGTATGACTTTTACTATTGACTTTTTACTTTTGTCCATCAAGAAATAAATTCTTTGTCAAAATTTACCTTAGCATTTTCAAGGTCTGCCTGAAAATGTTAAAATTACTTACGTTATCAACACAAATATGCATATATTATATATCAAAGTTTTGCAGGGGTGTGTGTGCCTTTAAACGACCAAATGGACAGAAGAATACATATATGGATAACCAGATATACCAACAGATATCTAGACAATACCAACCAGAAATCAGCAACAAGTAGTTACATTAAACTTTTCTCAATTACAGTCTCACTCTTAATGACTAACCAAATTTCTAAACTTCATATTTTGATAACAATAAGAGAAAGCCAGTGTCCATAGACAAATCATCTATCTCACTGTGTCTTCTAGCAGATGCCAAGCAAGTAAAAACAGCCTTAAGTGTGCAGTCCTGAAACAAAGGAAGCTGCACTCAAATGTTCATTAATAGTTTGGGTTAAAGACCATGAAACACAACATGCAGTACATTTGGTGTAAGAGAACTAAAGATAGGTCTCTTTAGCTCAAAATACTGAATGAAACTGGCAATGTGTGAATCTGTATCTGTTACTCTGAATTTAAGTTTTTTGTAAATGGTCACTCTATAATCCTTGACAGTAGATTTAGAACCAGTCCATAATGCACAGGGATGGTTAGGATCAGTTTTACTTAAAGCACCAGTTACATGATTCTCCACCCAGCATCATACACCCCAGATGCAGAAGCTCTCAGAGTCTAGATGATATAACTAGAAACCCATTTCAAGGACTTATTTTGGTCAAAAGATTATCTGAGATGAGCCAAGTATAAAGGTTATTTAAGAAACCATAA